AAGACTCTGGGCCTTTTATCGCTAGCAGCAGTAAACATACACGATGTAGGCAAAGAAAAAATTGCATGACTTACTGCTTGCGAGTGAACCTGCAGCAACTTCCTAAAGACAGCCCATAACGATGTCTACATGGAGTGAGTGCTAATGTTGAGTTCACACAGAAACTGGCGACGGAGCAAGACAGAAGGAGGAAAAACGTCCGTCTGCTTCTCGGTCTAACAACATTGTTGAAACACAGCTTTTAACAAAGTGCACTCATCAAAGTGAGATGCTACTGAGTTGGGGTAAATGATTTGAGGTTTCCGAGATCCTTTACCGGTCAAATTAAGCAATACATATCTGGTGTCAATCAGTGGGCACTCGACTCCAACACCACCCCGCATTTGAGGACATGTGAGTAGTACAAAAGTAAGGGTAAGTTAAATTTATCAAGATTGTGAGGAGAGACAAGCAGATGATGGGGATCCCTTGGCAGGTCATGCAATTCCTTCCATTTAGTGATTTGCTTTAAATGTCATCTTTCCCATTCATGCAAAGATGCTATACAAGAAAAGGAGAATTTGTCATATGCTTTACCCGCCTCCCCTCCAGGTCACCCGCGATGTCGTAACAATGCGGAGACATGAAGTAGGGACTGATGGTGAGGGTGAAGAGGCTGGATGGCTGCAGGTGTGGGTGAATGTGTTGGCCACGAAGAAGGTGGTGTTGGGGAGGCTAAATATGCATTTCATGCATGCAGTCTTTCTTATTTAGAGCATCGTGCCTCGTGATCCCCATAGCACTTGTCTGCTTCAGGCGTAACAAGTTTATATGCAAAAGCTTCTGTGGTATTCCAATTTAAACTGAATCAAACTAGGTATGGGACTGAGCGCGAAATGATGCATTCGTATTAGAGAAGGTAAATGCTGCTCAGTACTACTTATTACTCAATAGTAGGAGCAGTAGTACATGCTATTAGAGCTGACACGGTTGTATGAATATTGCATTTCACAGTCATGTCTGCATAAAATTAGCACGAGTAAGAGAAATACCACATAGCCAGACCGATATGAATCCAGTAGTTGAGATGGGAAGAGTAAGACTTTCATGTTGTTAGATTTTCATGACCGGAAACTCGATCTGGTCTCAACGACACCTGACGCAGACAACGCCGAATTGTGATCATGGCCAAAGCCTACGGCGTTTGAGTTTTCATGATCTGCTTTCACTTTATCTAGCTACTTGCACAGAAGGTATCTATTCTGCCTATTCCAGGCTTGGAAATCATGCAGAGAATGCGTAATTGTTCTTCGCTTGGATCGTGATTTATTCATCACTGAGAAGCGTTGTTTATCGCTCGACATATCCGTCACAGTCATCCTAGTAAAGAAGACTTAAATTCCAGAAGAAGCACTTTTACTCAATCTGAGCCTGTACATGACTTCAGTGGTGACCAGCGCTGCAAGAGGGGTAATAAATCCCCATATTACATTCAATTACTTCTTGGACTGACGGGTTTGCGTTTTTTGCTTGAGCATATACAGAGTGTTGTTATTACCAAATATACCACGTCTGATTTTGCATACAAAGTTGATGCATCACTTGCTTCTCCCTCCCCTTCCACACTCAGTCTATACTAAAGTAGTAGTGACCTGTATCAACGAGGATGATTTATCAAGGCACAGATGAGTTGAGGGACCATAGCCTTCACTCCTTGCAATTCCCTATGCGAATTATCTGTTTCCAAGACGGCATCATATACGATATTTAACATCCGTGTCACGCAAAAAATGCCAGATACAACCACCTACAGTATATAATCTACAAACAAGCATAGATGTGTGAACTGCACGACAAAGCTCAAATTCTTCTCACCTACACAATATTTGCTTACTGTTGTCACAAAAACTTTTGGTCTCCTTTCAAGATGCAATAAGTAACATCATTGTGAAGGTGGGCGCAGGTGACAGCAACTGGAGGGGTACGTCTCAAGGAAGAAGCAGAATCTGTGGAGGCTTGAGAGCCGCAACAGCCAACCATATTTCACACCATTGTAAATTGACTAGCGAAACTTTTATAAAGGTGGACAGATAATGGTAAACCAGTGGCAAAGTAGGGCATGCTGCCCCATGTGCGACAGAGAGCATATTCTGCCTATCCATCTCCTTGGGTAGGAGCATTGGTCTACATGAGACAATGGAAAGAGGAGATTTAGAGTCGCGCCTCCTTTCAGATAGATACATCAGGCCTTTCAACCAGATCAGCTGCGACTAGTTGACATCGGATCACACTTCATCACCAGTTACTCCCACAGAAATCGGAATTGGGATAGACGCAAAGCAGACATAAGTCAGCCACCTACAGCACATTATTCCCAATTCATCTTTTACTTACTTTCACTTTTCCTCTCTTGAGATAAAATTGCCCAATGGTACCACAAATGCAGCTGCCCAAGCCTTTCTTGAATTAGTGGCAATTCTTGCCATGTAGTGAAAAGAACAAAAGCTAACACGGGATAAACCTGGCTACCTGCCTGAAGGAAAACAACCCTCTGCAGTGGAATACTGCAGTTTCTAGTTTAAGATCCCCTCAACATGAGACTAAGCGGTTATGAAAAAGTGCTCAAATAAAAACATCCACGTCAGCTGTGAAACTGGTGGGACCTGGGAAAACGGCACACTCGTGTGTGACAGCCGATGGCAACAGACTCCAATGGTTGTCACTTATCCATCACGGACTAGGGCTACAGTTCAGGCGATTCCACTTGAGACCTGTCTACCATAGTTTGCAACAACGACAGTGTACGCAATGCGAGCAACAACTACTGCTTCTTGTCAACCCTTCAACAGTAACACTTTATCATCAATCAGTCGAGCAATCAGTCAGTCAGTCAGTCAGTCAGTCAATCGACCAATCAGTGAACCAAGTAGTCAATCAAAGCAAAGTCTTAGCCCTACAATATAGCTCTACATCTCGTAGCACTGACAAGGCTGCCCAATTTATGACGCTTAATGTAGAAATGGAGGAAAGTAGCACCGTATCAACCTCATTCACCATACCCGCCTTGCAGTGCCTCTTCGCCTCAAACCATCATCCCTACACGGCATCAGCATCAAACGATTCCTTGTGACGTGGAAGTAACATTTCCTAAACAGCATCAACTAAGAAGTGGAATGGGGTGGAGGTACGTCATTGCCTCGCTTCACACGGCAAATTATTCCACAAAAATGAAATCTCTGATGCTGTGTCTCGTTTAGAAACGGACTGTGAATAGCTGCAGTGAACACATCCATTGAGCAAGACAGTTGAATGGGTTTTCAGCAATAACTCATTCCAATTAGAGGTGAGAACAGAAGAAGCAATCTAATTTGTGTTCATATTTATCTTCTGACCGAACCACGGGCAAGAGTATAGCAAATGAGATGCAAAGACATGTAGGCACAGACACTCTCAAATTGGCGCAAGAATAAAGAAGACCATCACATCTAGCCATTGCAATTGTGTTACGACCTCCCAGACGTCTCCACACGTTCCCTTTGTCACAAGATCTGCGTCCCATTCCATTTTTTTAATTTTATTTTCCTCTACGCTATCTAGCTACACGCACAGGATGCACCGATTGTGCTTACTTCAGGCTTGGAAATCATGCAGAGAACGCGTAATTGTTCTTCGCTTAGACAGTGATTTCTTCATCACATGTATCCTTCGCCACGAGTCCTGCATCCAATTACATTTGCCACACTCCCAAATTTTCTCCTGGGTGCAGCGGTCCATGTTACGTGGAGATAGTTAAGCTATGTCAATATCCAATGCCACCATTGATGCTCAGGAATGGGCCACCTCCACCACTTAGCACTCCACTCTGCAGGTGCGAAAGCAGCTGCTGTGGTCTTGCGTTCTGCTTTCGCATAAACTGTCGGCACTCAAGACCTCGTCTCCTGAGCCATCATCCCAAACTTTGCTCCTTATTCACATACCTTGCAATTTATAAAGTCGCCCAAGCTTTGTGCCGCAGCAAGCAAAAGCAGGAGGTGCGAAACTCACTCACTTCAATCAGTGATCTGCAAACTTGCCGCTCAATTGCAGCGGAACAGAACTACGACCACTCAAAGAATCGCGCTCATAACAGGCAAAAGGAGTTTTCAGCATTGAGCAAATTGCACACAGTGAAGAGATCATTTGGCATCAGAATTCCTGTCTGCGTTTGCATATTCCTAGAGCATGTCTCAAACCAAGTATCCATACCACAAATTTGCTGCAAATATCGAAGAGGCATGAAGGCAAGTTAGAGGTGTACATTTTGAAGGAAACTACCATCCATGAGGTGAGAATGGCGGTGAAGGCTCACTCAACTGCTCCTGTGAAATTTCCACTCACCTAGGTAGTAATGACTAGTGAATCAAGAAATCGGCGAATTGTACTGTGCAAAGGGTCTTCTATGCAAGCCCTTTTCGCTACCAATCTAACTGCACTTACCAACGACTTTGTGGTCTAGTTAGCATTCCCTTCTCTCCGGATGGATTGGTTGATAGCCTATCCACAAACGCACAGACAGAGCCTCAGAGCGCCACGTAGGTAGCGTGAGATTTGTGTATTCACTCAAGGATGAGTGAGAGGAGGATGGAGCGGACGCACTGAAATGCTACCCCAAAGTGAAAGGTCCTAGTAGTGCAACCCAAAGAAGTGCAAGTGAGCTCTAAATATGCATTTTTATTTACACTTGTTTGAGCAGTACCGTACTAACATACCAACTACTCCCCTTTGTCTGGTATTGCTGACGTTGTAGCTTAAATCAGGCTGACATGGGATAAATTCAGTTGAGATCGCACGACTTTATCCCACACCGTCCGCAGCACAATGCAACACGCCAACTTGTTGGACACGGAGACGGTCGCTTTCAAAAGCATGATAGCTGAATGCGCCAAACGGTAACTGTGAGTTCGCACAAGAAGTTCATTTTGTCAGCTCTGGCAGACGACTGCACATTCCACCTTAGTGTCCGCAAAAGTGATCG